TTACAGAACATTTTTTATTATTTCTATTGTAATTAACTGACGATAATTCGACTTGTACGTTAATTCGATCGATAACCTCGGAACGCATTATAGGCAGTTGACTGTTTGTCAAGTTTTTGGTAATGAAAAGAGTTGGCAATTCCAAAAGTGATTGATGATTACAACCACTATATTAATATGGGAGGTGTTGATATTGCTGACCAACTAAGAGGCTATTATAATTGTCAACTAACAGTTTGTCATTCCTGGTTTCCTTTATATTTACTATTCGATGGTTAGACACAGTGCTTATTAATTGTTCTATCCTTTACCACAAAAGCACAGATTAAGATGAAACTATTAAAAATACAACCTTCAGAATTAACCTGGCATGGGACTTTGAATGATGTCAAGAGAATTGAAACCAGAGATCAGTCTTCTTATGATTAAAAAGTGCTTATGTCACCAAAAATTTTTGAGCTACCTTTCTCTTGTTTAGTACCTAGAGATCACTTTCCAGAATGGAGAAAAAAGAGAGCAGTATAAGTATGCATATACTGCTGGCATTTAGCTAAAAGTAGCTCTAAAAGCTGTAAGAATGAAAGTCAATTATGGTGCATTAAATATGTGATGTTTTAAAGATTATCATGATAAAACTGAATAAATTTTATTAGTAACTATTGAGCCAATTATTTAAAAAATATATACAGTCAACTCTGGCCATACCGGCACGAGTGGTTTGGCAGTTTTTGGCCGTTATAATGAGAGAGAATTGTTACACGGGTATTAAAATTGTGTAACCACATAATTGTGCGTTATTATTATTTTTATTTTAACTGCAAATGATTTATCTTTTATTTTTCAATAATCGTCGTATGAGCAACGGATCATCTATACTGACTTTTATGTTGTCATTACGATTTTGTTCTAAAAACATTAGCATTGTCTGAATGGCAGAGTGTGCTTCTTTGTATGAAATGCTCCTACTTCCTCATTAGTATTAGGACTATCGGATATTCACTATCCTCCTGTGGTAGTTCCCATTTCCTTTAAAATATTATATGCAAGGGTTTTAAGACTGGAGAGAGCCATAACAATTAACAATATAACCAAGTATTGAGTTTTTTACCTGTTTTTATAACCACTTTACATCGATTCTAATCATTAACGGAATAGATAATCTTCAAGTTTTTTCAGACATGCAAACCGAATATTCGTTCTATATACTCCAATATATTATTTAAGTGTTGTCCAGTAGCTCACGCGAGATAGCGTGATACCGTATGTGGCTAGCATGTGTATTAAATTTTGCCGAAATGGTATAAAATGATATAACTGAAGGGGATATAACTGAGGTATGACTGTATTGTCCAATTTGATATCACTATCATTCTCGATAAGCGAAAAGTCGGTATAACGACAATTGAATGCTCAAAGTGCACTACCTCACTAAACCCAAAACGTGAGGACTTTACCGTGAAAATCGGGATGCAAACGATACAATATACAAATAATATTAATTACCCTATCACCCAATTGTGATATCTTTATTATTATTACATTGATTTTCCAGCCACCCCACCCGAGAGTTGTTTATAATCACAGAATTCACTAAATTAACAAATTAATAAAAGTACATGCAGATGCAGAAATCTGAGTATATTATTTCTATATTCAACAAAGTAAACCTCGTTGAGCGAGTTAAGGAAAAGGTAAGGGGAATAAAGTTCTCAGGTAAAAAGCCATTCAATAGAAGATTAGCCACTAAGCCCGCGTATAAGTCTGAGCTAACTTAATTGAAAGAAGCAAATACGTTTGGATATTGCTGCTTGAGTCCCGCACATGTTACTTGACGGTTTTGGAGGTCTTGAGGAATCCACCCTTGTTCCTGTGATTACAGAAGGATACAGGTTAAAACGATTATTAGATATACACGTGTGATATACAGCAAGCACAATAATTCCTTGACTAACTGGTTTGATTGCAAAACATACCACTCCAAGTTGATAGTCCCAAGTAGGATTAACATGATTCTCAGTCTTCCAAGTCCAAAAGAACCAGCCTCCCCCCATCTCAAAGGCATCAACTTGAGCAAGGAAAAACTGTTTCATGAAATCTTTTGTCTGAGCGCTGTAGTTTTTATAATCAAGGGTACCAGCACACGTGCATGTCGGACAGGAACCTTCATAGGCTGGCTTGCCATCTACACCGTTTAGAAATGTTGCGCAGTCGTTAGTCGATATAGACCATTCTCCAGTGATAGCGAATGGTACTATTTGTTTGGAGGCTTGGAGAGCAGGACCCCATTTAGCGCATGGGAAGACTATCTGAGTGGTTGGTGGAGCTTTAGCCATATTGGGGTCAAACGCGATGTAGCTATGGGTATCTGTAGGAAATCAATTACATAAAGTATTAGATAATATCTCATTTGAGAAAGCATAAGGACGAGTTCAGATAATGTATATACAGCAACGCTTACCAAGAACAACTCTATCAAGTCCTTTTAATGCGGTCCAAGGATCAGATCCAACGAATCCATCATGAAATATTATCCATGGCTGCCAGTCCGCAGTAGTATTCACACCTCGAATTGTCTTATAAGCCTGTAAGTACCAGTTCTGTACAGCATTTTGCTGGAGACCACCGAAATTTACTCTGGGCTCATTGACCGCCCCAAAGAAAGGGACAACGTGCATGTACTTGGGATCACTGAAGAACGTTGCCAGTTTTTGGACAATACGAAGTGATCGTTGAGCGTTCGCCTGACCATTAGGTCCACTAAGCCAGTTGACGGTTCCCTGTTTGCCTATATTTATGGTGTGGATGAAAAGCGTGATATATTATTACATCGCGAGATATTGATAACATCAAAAAATAGCATATAAATTCCGATGTGTAGTATCAAACTACTGTTATCAGAAACGTTGTAGATAGAGTTTTCCGTCACAATGCCAAGTTATCCTACTAACCGCTATGATTCCATCCATTCTGACTTCCGGGAACCGCGTGCAAGTCTAGCAACACTCTCAATCCGTATTTTCTAGCCCAATTAATTCCCTTCAACAGGTAAGTCCAACTTAAATCTGGTACATATGGCTCTCCGTCTACTATATCAACGGCCCAGTATCCAACTGGAAGTCTTACGAAATTCAAACCATAGCTAGCAATTTGCTTAAAATCGTCCTCGGTATAAAAAGTGGCATAATGGTTATCCATGACCTTTTTCGCTTCCGTTGGACCAAGAGAAGCACAAAGAGTCCATTCGTCGATAACGCCTGCAGCAGTAAACAAGGATGGGGTGATGAATGGTTCGAGGACAAGCCATCCGCCGAGGTTGACACCACGAATTGCTTGCTTGCCGAAAGGGAAGGGCTGGTTTATTGGGGGTGTATAATTGTTTGGAGCATGTGAATCATCAAAAAGGTTCGCTCCGTTTGTATCGGTCGAATTTTGGGATGGGTTAGTAGAATTGTTTGAGGATAAAGGATTGTCGTTTGGCTGGTCGTTTGTAACTACATTATCGTTTTGAGGTTTGTTGTTTTTGATGACAAAAAAGTAAACTGATGCACCACCAGCAGCAATTAAAACGAGCGCGACAAGTACTATTTTCCACAAGTGTCGTCTTTTTTGCTTTTCTCCATTTGGGGTTAGACTTATGTTGCTTCCGGAACTTTGGTCAAGATTTCTATATGACATGGTTTATGGAAGACTGGCGTCAATTGACGAGGAGAAAAGCGTTTCCGTGAGCAAAAACCAACGTATATTGCTAAACAATATGAATGACGACAAATGTTTACAACTCACCAAAAAAAGAGTGTTATATAGAGATATATTCTCTATAATAGTCCAATTAGTAAGATGCCGGTATTGTTGAGGGGTCCGGCAAAGGGTGTTGATGGAGAGAAAGGATGGCGGAAGTGATAGGGTAATAACCTGAACAGGTTATTAGTTGTAAAGGAGAGTAAAGTATATTTCGTTGAGAGTAAAGGTTAATACAACGAACGAATTAACTAATCTCCACATTTATTCTGATTGCTACACAAGCTTTGTGTGCTAAACCCTTGCGAGTTAGAGATATTACTGGATAAACCGTTATTTAATACAGTAATAGTAATATATCAACCCATTGTTGGACGATCATGTCGAGCAAAACTTGTTCTGGAACCGGTTACCCGAATGCTTGGCCCGAACTTAACTTCCGAACTGCAGCTTGATTCAACGTCAAGTGCAGTACTAATACCAATAACACTGTTAAAATTCCGTTAATGTATCCGATTCTCAAAATATAAGAGAAAAAAAAAAGGGAACGTTTAGAATGAACTATATACAGTCAACTGCCTATAATTCGACCGCTTGCGAGGTTATCGATCGAATTAACGTACAAGTCGAATTATCGTCAGTTGATTACAATAGAAATAATAATAAATGTCAGAAAATGTTCCGTAACCAGCGTCGAATTAAAGAAGGTCGAATTATCGGCAGTTGACTGTATATACAAGTGGGTCTCGATATAACGACACGCTCGGTTCCATCGCTATATCAAAAATGTCCTTATATCGATAATTTAACTTTATAACGACAACAAGGCAAGTTCAACCAATTATCATTATACAAAAAATCAAATTTGTTGGATAAATTTGATGACATTAAGAATTAATTCTTAAGTAAACGAACGAGATAAGTATTGTATTAATAATATCAATGAAAAGAAATTTCAGTTAACTTAAAGGAGATGTGTGTCACTCAAATTGCATATAACGACTGTCGTTATATTAAATGTCGGTATATCCCGATACTTTATTATTATTAAGATTTGTCTAATAAGCATTTCCTCGTTATTATTATACCGTTATAACGAAAATTTATACACAGTAACAGTAAAAGTCGATATAACGGATTCGACGGGAGAGGCACACAATCCGTTCTCCGAAAACCGATATAGCAAACTCAGAAAATGTTCGATATAGCGGTTTGTATTTATTACTTGATATTTATTAAGTTTGTCAATGTAAAAGTATATTCGTCAATAATCAAAAACAAGAAATTGATCAAGACTCGTTTGTTGTTTTTTCATTATGTTTTTCAGGACTATTCTTTCTTCTGTAAAGCTGTTAACGAAACCATTGTCCTTCCCCCCATAATATTATTAATATACAAGAAGGAAAAATATTTGACAACTTGATTTTATTTCACTGACGGATAAATTTGTTATGGATTATAACGGATCTACTACTACTACTACAAATTGTAATGGATAGTACGGATCTACTACTACAGATTATAACGGATTCGGCCACTCTCCTATGAACTATAGCGGACTCCGTTATAATTCCGTTATATTGAACAATGCATCACTAAACTCCGTTCATCGAAAAAAATCCGGAACCGCACTACAGCAATTTAATAGTAAAATCCGCTGTATTTGATTAGTAAAACTTTGGTTCCAAGAAAAAAAATCCGTACTAAGCGAAATCCGTTATATCGACTTTCACTGTGTATAATGTTGTTACATCGAATAAATTTCATGATATAGCTTTTTTGTTCCAGGATTTTTGTCAATAACGAGATGTCGTTATATAGCAGTGATGTCGTTATATAGCAGTGATGTCGTTATATAGCAGTGTCGTTATATCGGTATAATTACCTAGCTTGCACATCGCCTAAATCACGTGAAGCACGTGATAAACTATATCCCTTAAATATTAATATAAAAGCAAGAATTTTTTTTTCTTCGGGAAAAATCAGACGATACTTTCATGCGTCGTAGAATACAATGCTGGACACGACATTGAGAATAGTAAATTTTTAATATGATTGGATCATAACTGTCCATATTAAAAAAAAAAAAATCATTAGACATTGATTCATATTATCGTCACTTCTTATCATATACCACAAGCAGACTCGCAAAGCAGATGTCTACCGAAACCTCCTAAAGCAAGCTCCTTTCCCTCGAGGAATCAGACAGTACCTTCGTACGTCATGATAAAAGAATATAATACTTTATGGCCACTCTTTGGGATATAGTACTTTCATACGCCTGAATGATAATTGATGGACAATCACCATGTTAATATCGATTTGACGAAAATAGATTCGCAAAGTGGTCTACCGAAACCGCTCGAAGGTATACGCGTTTTAGAACTCGGACAGGTACGACCTTTATGTTTTAATACATCTATTAACAATTGATCAATACATTTATAAGTCATCTTCATTTACTCGACCAGCTCATAGCGGGTCCATTTTGTGCAACAATGCTAGGGTAACATTCCGTGTAATGTTAGCATCAATTTGTAGAATTTACTCACGCATTCTCTATTCGTAGATATTTTGGAGCAGAAGTGGTATGTGAATAACATACGTTAAAACAACATCGCAACGTTTCGTTATAGGTCGTTTCATTAGACTATACTGCCTCAAGATAAAAGTAGAACCACCAGAATCGGGTGATCCTATACGCGTATGGAGACATATAGACTCTGATGGCGTTAGTCCATGGTATAGATCCATTGCAAGGAATAAGAAGTCATGCGAAATTAATCTAAGGACTGAAGAAGGAAGAAGGTAAAGCATTGAGGAGAGTAATCATCATCTGGAAGGAAAAGACAAGTCGATGGCACAAGAAAAATGTACGACTATACGTATGGAAGCCATATTTTACAGCTAAAGATGTCTACATCCTCTGACTTGGAGCAGTTTACACAAGATGTCCTTTATCCAAATAGATCAATATAGACTTGAGGCGCTTGAAAGATTAATTAATGATTTCGTTATATTACGCGATTTGAATGGAGATAAGACAAAGATATGAGTTTAGTAAAAAGATTTTTATTTACAACGAAAAAAAATGTTATACTTTCCCGTAGTCTTGTAAAAGACTTGGCTAACAAGTCAGACGTGCTGATTGAGAATTTTCGTCCGAAAACTATGGAAAAATGGGGTCTCGGACCAGGTAAGATCAGATTAAGCCATTGTATAATAGCCTATTACTATAGCCAATTTAGTAATGGTATTCCTATTAAAGACGTGCTTTATGAGACAAACCCTGGCTTAATATACACGAGAGTGTCTGGGTATGGGCAGACTGGACCATACGCAATGAAACCTGGCTATGCTTCTGTGTGTGAGGTATGTCATTACGCAAGTTCATCAGTAGTACCTATGTTTTTCATATCTCTTATGTGTAATCACTTTTCATTTGCTAATTATGATTCCATTCGCTTTAAACGCTCTTACTTAAATAAATCAACTCAAGGCAATGGCTGGCTTTCGCTATATAAATGGATATCCCAATTCGGCTCCAGTGCGCCCTAATATCTCTCTAGGTGATTCGGTGGCTGGTCTAACTGCTGCTTTTGGCACTGTCCTCAGTTTGCTAGCGAAACAACGGTTATCACATACCCAACGCAAATCTGGTCAGACTATCGATGTTTCCATCGTTGAAAGTATGTTTAACATGACAGAAGGCATTCTTCCGGAATACGATCGATTCAAAACAATAAGACAACCATCGGGCACTACCGTCACTGGCATAGTCCCTACGAACGCATATCCGTGTAAAGATGGAAAGTATGTGATCATCGGAGCGAATGGTGATTCGATTTACAAGCGGTTGATGATTGCAGCGAACCGGGAGGATTTAACGACTGAAGAATATGCTACTAATAAAGAGAGAGTCAAGAGACAGGAAGAAATTGATGATGCGATAAGTGCGTGGACAAAAGAGTTGACTTCGCGGGAGGTTTTGGAGAGTTTAGAGAAGGCAAATGTGCCGTCTGGAAGCATATATAATATCGAAGACTTTGTCAATGATCCACATGTTGTCGAAAGGAATATATGTGAGGATGTTAAAGTCGGTGGACAAGATGGATGGAACGTTAAAGTAGGTTTACGGATGGATGGGATGGTTTTAGAAGGGACAAAATGTCATTTGACCAAAAACTCTCGCGTTTTTTTTTTTTTTAACATTACCAGATTCCAGCAATACCTCCCAAACTTGAAGAGACACCCGGTGAAAGCAATTGGGCAGGACCCGACCTCGGACAGCACAATCGAGAAATATTTATGGATATGCTGGGATTGAGTAGTCAACAGGTTAAGCAATATCAAAAGGCAGGAATCGTTGGGAAAACATTATAAAAATCTTGTCAATATATGTTAGATGACAGCTTTTATTTGTAAAACAGAACGGTGCAACCGTTTAGTTGCTGTTGATTTGTTGCAATGGTTTAAAGTCAAGAGTGTTTTTAACATTATGCGTGAGATATTAATCAGACGATTTTCTTTACATTAACTTTGTCCGCTTGGAAATCTTTCGTGTTCATACTATGGAAGTTTTTTGGCAACCATACCTATTAATATGACTTGCTCCACCTCGCATATCCACGAAGAACTTTGCTATATTATAACTAATCCCACTATGTGAATATACAATACGGTTTTATCATTACTCATTAGAATTTGGTTCTCCGACGAATTCTCAGGGTATTTATTAATGGGTATCCATTTGATGATTGTACTAAATTTAGTACAGCTATTAAAAATGTCTTTCATGCCAACCACATAATTGATTCTATTCAAATTATGTTAGTATGTACATTGATTTCAAGTCTACACTTGTACAAAAAATCGATGATATTTGCCAACAGTCTCGAGTGCATCCTTTTTGCAAAAATCTTCCTGTACTAAATTTAGTACAATAGATTTATGGGATAGCACTGCAACCCATATAGATAATTAAAAAAAGAAAAATAATCCAGATTTACTCTTTATTTTCAGGTATTCATATTCATCAAAAAGATGCCTGCTAAAGCAATTAATGTGATATTTTAATTTATATGACTTTATTGCCAAACTACAAATTCCTGCAAAACAGGCTTGCTAAAGCTAGTTTTAACTTATCTAAAAGACAGAGGTACAATAAAGAAGTGGCCAGCAGAGGCTTACATATTTTTAAGATTTAATTGGAAAAGATGAGGGAGGTGATATATGATGGAGGGGACCCCCCTTCTGTATTGTTGCAAAGCCCCAGGACATATGAGTGATGATGTGGAGTGCCCAAGTAAATGAACCTGGCGCCACTAAAAAAAAAACCATTTAGTCATTTTTGGGCCTTCTTTCATTCAAACTGGCAACTCCTACTTCCACGAAAAATTATTGCATGTAAATAGCATGACTGAAGAATTTGGATTGCCATCATTATTCATTATGCGAGTGTAGATATCTGTATTTAATGAGAGTAAAAAGTAGAGATGATAGTGATTCATTTGTTGTTGGAAGAGGTTTATTATTATGGGAGAAAGCTAAAGCAGTTAATACACACACCTTTTGAATTATTACAGGTACGATATTTATACCAAATTAAACTAATTTATATCAAATCCACCAGGAACCAAAAGAACAAGGAGAAAAATTGCTCCATATGTTTTAAAATCAATGATACCCAAACTCTCCAGGGAACAATGGTAATAATCGACACCAGGAATTTAGCTAGTTTCGGCAGAGCGTGGCGTCTCCTTCTCTAGGTAAGTCTCGGGTTACAGTTAGTGACATTGTCTTTGACTTACGAAAACCTTCCCGTCGTAGAGTGACGCTAATCCTGGATATATTAATTGTACTCAAGTAACTCTGTCGGCTCCTAAGATGCTTAGTCTCCGTTGGGGGTACAATGTATTTTAATTATAATAATGCGCATCTATCTACATAACAATTAATTGTCATACTTTGCCACTCGAATAATCGTGGGACATTATTCTTCATCGATATAGGGATTAGCGTTTCTCAGTTATACCGATAAGTTACCAGGCCAGGGAATCATTAACAATGTACTTCAGAGTATAAAGAACTACGCTACTTATATATCTTTCGAGCGGACAGCTATTTCTAATCATCTATCGAATGTTCTCAGTATACGTCTTTTACTTTTGCTACACCGTCAGAAATTTAGGAGAGAATACATCACACTATATAATACGTCATTCACATCCATCGCGCACATATTTGATCTCAATATGGAACTGTACTCGCGTCTTGCTCTTGGTGACGATGAAAAGACAGCACTGTTCGTGTATTTTACTAAGAACCTTGCTCAGAAAGCAGAAGCAGCTGCAGTTCTACCAGTCTGTAAAGATGACACTGCCAGGGTTAGTTTTCTGAAGGGTTCTTGGAGCCAGCAGTAGGTAACGGCTTTGTGACTCGGGCGTTGGGGACATAGAGGAGTGTGTAGGGAGGGCAGAGTATTATAATTTGCCTCTTTTACCTCATGGTTGGCGTCGGGACATAGAATAGAGCGCAGTAGATAGGCAAAATTATACGCGCGTATAGGGATACCTATTTCTCTTGTATGTGTTAACTGAAATGGCACAAGTCCGACAACTGTTATCATCGACGAGCACAGATCCTCTATGCTGTGCATCTGCTTTCTGGGATGATTTAAAGACTACCCTAACAGCAATCTACGCGTGCTGCTCTTAAGCATGTACGAAGATCGTTACAGTCAACGCTCCAAGACCCGATTTGCGATAGAGATTTACACATCTATATCATTGTTGCGCAATTCTTTGAAAAAAAAAGTCATCTTCCTACGCGTCAGGTTCGCCAGCCCGTGCATCGTTATATGATTGCGAAGAGTATAATTATCAGGATCCCGATAGTGAATATGCGATGAAATAGAAAGCAGTTTGTTATTAACGGAAAGTGAATGTCCGTTGTCAGAAGGATTAAACGGTGATGCTGAAGATGCGGAGGCCAGTTTTACGTGGAATTATATCAGGCCGATGACTTCCTCTATGGTAGAAATGGAACATGATATAGACTGGTTTGCCAGCGATTGACGAGTATTCAACGTATGCTGAAACTAGTACTACTACACTAAATGAGGACGACTTTGAAATAACAGCCTTCGACAGTTTGTCAGACGAGACGAATCAATGCGTTCTTATGGATATCATAGATGGCAAGCTAACTCAAAATTCTTTACATCGACGAAAAGGCAAAAGCAAAAAATGTATCGGAACGAGTCTATTCTGTCATCAAGATAAGTTTTTCTTCTCCCGTATGTGTGCCAACCATGCACACACTATAAGTGGACGAACGATACAAATAAGCTGTTGTACTTTAAAATGTTGTCCTGTATTCAAAAGCATAGTGAGAGATCGAGATATGTATGTAAAATTCTTGGTTTTATTCAGAAGGCCGCCGCTACTTTCGAAGACGGGGAAAGGGTGTTAAATCGTATCGATGTGCAGATTTTCATAAAAAGGATTCAGCTCAGGCTTGTAACACCATTGATTTAGGCTATCACCTAACTCTCGAAGTCAAGCAGTGTCTGTCATCAGAACTGTGCGGACCTATTACTATGGATGTCATATTAACACATCCGATAGATGGTCGCCTTAAAAATACACTCACCGGAAAAGTATCGACTCAGCCGATCTGTTACACAAAAAATCGGTAACATAAACAAACTTCAAACAACGATTGTGAGCTCAATACTTGTTCATTTTTGTCCTGTAATCCATCAATACTTTAGTAATTACTTATAATTTTCAAAAATGCCATTAAATCGAGAATTGACTGATTTTGAACGATTATCGGTTACTGGGAGTGCGAGATTGCGGAAGCCCTTGGCCACACCCAAGCACAAGTTTCTCGAGCCATTGGCGCATTTCGGAAAGAACAACAGGTGACCGTTAAACCCCGAAATGGTCGGCCGAAAGTTTTGACAGAGCGTAACCTTCGACAATTGTCAAACGAGGTGGTAAAAAATAGGCAAAATACGTTAGACGAGCTCGCTCAATCAATCAATGAGGTGTCGACTGTACCGGTCAGTTCCAAAACGATCAGTCGTTGCCTCCATGAATTAGGTTTTCACAGCCTTGTTGGAGTACGAAAACCTTTTATTTCTGAAGCAAATCGGAAAAAACGCTTCGAATGGTGTAAAGAAAGACAAAATTGGGTTGCCGAATTTAAAACAATCATTTGGAGTGATGAATCTCGTTTCTGTCTATTTCAAAATGATGCTCACAAAACGGTTTGGCGTCGGCCAAAAGAAAAATACGCTGTTGATTGCCTTATTCCAACTGTTAAACATGGAGGAGGGGGTGTTATGGTATGGGGCTGTTTGTTAATAATAGGCCTGGACCGTTAGTTGCAATTGAAGGAAAAATAAATGGTGCTGGCTATATAGAACTACTTAGAAACAGTCTCCTACCATTCTTGAATGAATTGGGACCGAATCTATATACTTTCCAGGATGATAATTGCCCAATTCATCGATCAAGGCTGGTGCATCAGTGGAAAGAAGAAAATTTAATTACTTCACTTCCATGGCCCGCTCAGAGCCCAGACCTTAACCCAATCGAGCATGTTTGGGATTATTTAGAAAGAGCAGTTCGCAAAAGACAGCCCATCCCAAAAATAAGCAGGAATTGTTCATGGCTTTGAAGGAAGAGTGGGTAAACATAGATACGAGTTATTTAGAAAAATTAGTGGAAAGTATGGCACGAAGAGTTCAGGCTGTAATTAAAAGTAAAGGCAATCCAACGCAATATTAAGGTTACCAATAAAAATTCTATGATTTTCTGATTCGAATGATATAAAATTCATGCAATATATATTAGTATGTTCTCATTTTATTGTACGATAAAGACATCAATGTTTTTATCGTTTCATGTAACACCAACATGAGTCGATACTTTTGTCCGGTGAGTGTACATTTACCGCTGCAAAAAAATCCAGTGCACGGGTGAATTATTTGTTGTGGATAGAAAATATACTGCAATGTGATCGAAATGCAGTTTGTAAACACCAGATCCGAATCAGTATCTACGTCAAATAGGGCGACATCGAATAACGTCAATCAAAAAAAAAAAAAGAAAACTCAACCGAAACAGAATAATCGTCAATATAAATACGAAGATTAAAAAGGAACCGGGAACAGAAGACAAAGGCAATTCGCCCAAAAACCAAATAAAAATCAATAAAATAGCTCGCGAAGTGATAAAAAGGAAGAGAGGCACGTCTACAAGGAAATGAGCAGAGAGGAAGCTACATTGTCGTCGATAGAGGTGGTGGATATATTGTCCAAACTCTTGACCTACGGAAGTTAATCCCTTGGGTACTACCAAGTCCCTCACACGGAAGACAGTCAAAGCAAAACGCGATCATCAAGAAAAAAGCGCAAGGTAAAACTGCGTCGTGATTGGCGTGGTACGAACACTTAATAATACCATATTTACCTTTTTGCAATTAAGCATACGCGCATAAATAACGTCCTTCCGTATGAGACTGTTATACTGTTAATGATAATGTTATCTATTAACCGGAAAAGACTTATTGCATTCATAGTAACAGAAGTAATAAAATCTAAACAAGAATTTGGTGCAAGATTAATTGATATAGAATTAGCCAAAAACAATGGCTCATTGGACAGATATCTTAATGACGAGAGCGAGTATAATGGTTTTAAATCTCATTTTCGCATTCGTTCAATCGACTGCTTAGTATCCTACATACAGCAACATCCTAACTATTTATCCACACCCTTTCGACTTCAAAATTCAATATCGCCAACTAGAACAAATGTTTGGTGTTAGCCAAGGATCAATCACACATTTTACTAAACGATTTATTGAAGCCATTCTGGACACCCTCTAACATTATTATCATGATGCGACCACAACCAAAACTAGATTAGACCAAGCGGAAAAAGACCGCGATGCTTACTTAGCCTCATTTCTATCAATCAAACCCGCATACGTTGTGGGTGTTTGTGTGATAAAGGGATCCGAGGGTTTTTTTGCTTCTTAGAGATTTCTTGACTCAAGTTAATGTTCTGTCCTATGTACTACATCACATCGATCATGAGATGTCTGGATTATGTTCATATGAAAAACAACAATTTCCAATTTAGGGATGCCACCAAATTTGATCGG